AGAGAAACATTGATGTGAGAGAGACACATCGACTGGTTGCCTCCCACACGTGCCTCGACCTGGGGCGGGGTGCGAATCCACAACCAAGGTACATGCCCTTGACTTGGAATTGAACCTGGAACCCTCCAGGGCCCAGACTGACCCTCTAACCGCTTAGACACACCAGCCAGGACTCAGAGCCTTCTTTTTAAGTGGAGAATTTTGATGTGATGACCTCTAAGGTCCCTTTATTTTTAGCAATCTATGGCAAACAACGAATTACAATTAGGATGTGTGCCAGTGGTCGAGAATTTTAACGCTTTTTAAAGTCACCGAGTGGGAAAGAGGTGGAAGTGGGAGACGGCCGATTCCTCAGCAAAGCCATAACTGGAGTAGATACGAATCGTATCCTGAGGAGCCCCGTTTGCAACAGGCCTGCAGAGGGTGAGAGTCTCTGGGAACTCTGCTACCAGCCAGCTCTGCCCAGCACTTGAGGGGTCTGCGCTGGAGCAAGGATGAGGATCCCAAGCCCAGCCCCACCCTATTCACACCTGGGCCTGGAGACAGGAAAGGGGAGGCCACAGAAGGCATGCTGGGGCCGAGGTGCTCACCATCACGATGTTGGCCAGATGGGCAGAGACAAGCGCGTACACCCCTCCAGAGGAGCCCACGACGGGCGCGGTCATGTCAGCCACAGACACCGCCAAGGATCCTGGGGCAGAGAGAGTGAGAATTCAAGAATGCTGGCAGCGGCTCCTCATCCCCATTTCAGACTCTCAGATGCCTCAGCCTTGGGGGTAAGACTCCAGAGCAAAAGGCTCCTTCTCTTCCTCCTTCGACTTCATGTTACCTTGGAGCTCCCTAAGGATTCATTTAGGGCTGAAAGAACCATTTGATTCCAACTTTTCCTTTTAGAGCAGAGGTTCTCAACCTCTGGGTCGTGCCCCTTTGGGGGTCGAACGACCCTTTCACAGGGGTCACCTAAGACCATCGGAAAACACATATATAATTACATATTGTTTTTGTGATTAATCAATATGCTTTAATTATGTTCAATTTGTAACAATGAAATTGGGGGTCACCACAACATGAGGAACTGTATTAAAGGGTCGCGGTATTAGGAAAGTTGAGAACCACTGTTTTACAGCAGGAAAACAAAGGCTCAACAAAGGAAAGCGAACATCTGCCTCTCAATCCAACCTCTGCTTTCCAATGCCATCTCAGGGTTCTGGAGCAATAACAAAAACTACAGGGGTAGCCCAGCTGGTTTGGCTCAGTGGATAGAGCATCAGCCTGCGGACTGAAGGGCACCTGCCTGGGTTGCGGGCCCAATCCCCAGTAGGGGGCGTGCAGGAGGCAGCCAATCAATGATTCTCCCTCTTCATTGATGTTTCTAGCTCTCTCTCCCTCTCCCTTCCTCTCTGAAATCAATAAAAATACATTTAAAAAAAATTACAGAGGTAGTAACTGCAAAAACAGGTACCGTCTACGGGGCACTGAGTGCCAAACACCGGCCAAGCATTTTACATACATTCATTCTCCCCTTCAACCCTCAAGACAGCCCTTTGAGAAAGGTGCTAGTAGCCTCATGGCTCACCTGGTGGGAAGAACCGGAACCTGCATTTGAGTCCAGGTCTTAGCCTTGATAGTGGCCACTCCCCACACTGGTCCAGAAGTTAACCTCCCTCTACCATCACTCTCTCTGCTCAGTGGCATCTAGAAACCTGCTTAGGTCACCTCCAACCTCCCTCCAGCCGAGGGAAATCACAGAAGGCCAACAAGTTTCCAGAGCAAATGGGGCATCTTTGGAAGGGAAAAAAAAAATGCCCTTGAAAAGTCTCCAGGAAGAGAGAGATGATGTCACAGCCTCTGGGGGAAAGGCAGGCATGGGCTCTTGGTCTGGGGGATGACTAACTTTTGTCCTGGGAGGAAAGCTGGGGGAGAAGAGCTGGGAGATGTATTGTTCTGGTCTCATTTGAGTGTGATCCATGCTTTGGCTTCGAGGGAAGGGCACGGAAACTAAAAATAACTGGGAGGTAGAGTCCAGGGCCCGGAGGATGAGAGGTAGCTGGCCTGGGAAGTGTGCAGAAATCACCACTGGAAAATGCCTGCGGGCTCATGAGCCAATTAGCTGCTGCCAGGGTGGAGAGAGGAGGGACAGGCAGAAGGCCAAATTCTGCAGGTTCCATAGGGGTGGAGGGCCCACTACTTAGGCGGTGGCTGAGCCCAGCAGGGAACTGGGAACCGGAGCACCTGATACCTTGGGCTCGGAGAGTCCCTGTAACATCATCCCTTTCTCCCCAGGTGCCCGCCCCACCTCTCTCAAGGCTCCCGGGCTCACTGAGCTCCTCCAAAGAAGGGATCCCCATGACAGGTTCTTGGTCTCAAGGGGGATGTAATTTCCCAGGGAAACACAAACTATAAACTGAGAACTCCCAAGTCCTTCTGCCCTCCCAGGGCAGCTATAAATCTCTCCTCTCCTCTTTCATGCCTTCCCTCCGGCTTTAATTAGGTATTGATCTATTGTCAGATAACTTTTTTTTTTGTATTGCCTAGCCACAGGGTCACCCATATAGAACAGGGGGGAAAAATCTCAGGGTGGCAAACAGACAGGCGGCAGGATCTGCATGACAAAGGATTCCCACGCTCTCCTGCCGGGCTGGCTGACAAGGCTGCATTGCAGGGCAGCGAGGGCTGGCTGCCCAAGCCGCCCGCTCTTCAGCTTGCTCCTCATTAATTACCGCAGGGACAGAGAGCCTCCCTGGGCTGGCCTCTTCTCTCAGCACAAGTCCCTACAAACCCGCCAGCTCTGCTCCCTCGGCCTCCCCAGTGTGGCCCACCAGGGACAGAGGCACCAGCGGGGGCCCCCAGGGAGCCCCTCACTGACCTTTCCCTCACCCTACCCGTGGATCAGAGTCCTGACCCCAGGGCCAGGGGTCATCCTGGGACTGTGGAAGAAGCATGGAATGGGGGTGTGGCTGGCTGGCTGTGTTGTGACTTGGACACAGCCCCTGAATTCTTTGGGCTTCGGTTTTCACATCACAAATATCTGTTGAGATGAGGAGGTCTCAGGCTTTCCAACTTTTGAGCAATGAAACCCCTTTTTCAAAGGAAACCTTACCCACACCCTACACCAAGGAGCAGATGGCAGCTGAATAGGGGTGGGGCCTGGGGAGCAAAGTTTGCCGCCCACAGGAGGGGGCCTTAAAGGTCCCTTTCAGATGAGAAATTCAGTAATTTGAGTCTCAGACCCTGGTTCTAGCATATTTTTTAAAAATTATATTTTTATTGATTTCAGAGAGGAACAACTGGGAGGTTCTAGCATCTTGAAGGTAATAAGTCTGGACCCACCTACCCTCCCTTTGTGGCACTGACTTCCCTCAGGGACTGCTCTATTAGGTTAGCTTGCTGCTGAGGTCCAGTGATTGTGACTGGATGAGACAGGCAAGAAAGCCCTGGAGCCCTCCTGTGGTCCCTCCCTGGCCCTGATCGCTCACCAGTGGGGTCCCTCGACCTGGCCTGCAGGGATCGGGTTGAAACCAGCTCTCTGACATCCCCCAAGGGGTCCCGGAGTGTGAGAGGGTGCAGGCCAGGCTGAGGGACCCCACCGGTGCCCAATTCTGGGCACCGGGCCTCTAGTCTATAATAAAAGCTTGGTGGAACACTGGAGATGCTAGTTTTTACAGTGTTGAAAGGGTTGGCCATTTAATTGTTAACCAGAGTGAAATACACATGGGCCTCCAGTATTGGCCGGAAGCACAGGGCGGAGAAGAACTTCTACCCCAGGCCTAGCTCTTCTTAGCTGAGCAAATTGCACAAGTCACTCCATGGTTCTGTGGTGTCCGCAACATGCGGGGGGGCGGGGACAGTGCCCGCCTCTGGGTGGTTGTGATGGATACGGCAAAGAGCACGTGTGAACCTTTTATCGCACGCCCGGAACCCGACGTGCTCAGCAGGGGTAAGCTCTCCTTGTTACAAACTGGGCCAGCCTTGGATTTAGAATATTTTCACTGGGCAGGAATGAAAGAGCAGGGCCCGACGTCTATAAAGACCTTCCTTGGGTTCTGACAATTAAATTATCTGCACAAAGGAGAACGCATGCCTTTTGGTTCTTGTAAGGTGGCTCTGGTTTTGAGCACAGCCTCGGGGGTTAGACCACTTGGGTTGGAGCCCAGCTCCACCACTTTCTACTGGGGCCCTTCCTGGGCAAGTCACTTAGGCTCTCTAAGCCTTGGTTTCTGTATCTGTAACAGGCGAAGAGTAATAGTACCTGCCTCGTGGAGTTTTTGTGAGGACTGAATAAAATGTGGCCTGTAGGGCAGGCACTTGATTCCTGGCTGTCCAGTCAGGGTCTAGCTGTCTGTGAATGAGTCCCCTTTCTGAGCGGAGAGGAAGGGAGGGGTGCGGGCAGATCAGTCAGATCAATCTAGGAGATAAATAGCATGACATGGTGTGACGCAAGTGCCCTTGAGCCTGAGCAATGACTCAGAACAGCACACATCATTGCTTGGTGACAGCCTCACACCCTCGTATTTAGCTGGCAAGCTCCCCCTCTGTCTGTGCACCGTCCCGCTCTGCACGGACATCGCTGCGAAGATACCTGCACTGTCTCCCCGCTGTGCGTCGTCTGGTCTTGGTGGGGCCTGAGTCATTTGGAATCTTATTTCTGTCTTCTGGGTTATTGGCTCTCCCATCTCCTCGACTACTGACTGCGAGTGTCTGAGTGTCTTTCCTGTTCCTCATCATTAACCATCTGGGTCTCTGAGCACTAGGTCTGGAAAGTGTGGCTATAAATCCCCAGATGTCAAGGCTCGGGGGGTGCGTGGGTGGCTGAGTGAGTCTAGCACAGAGCACAGAGGTACTTATTAGACCTTCGCACAAGGATGTCGGATTCTGGGACAAGCGGGTGTGGGTGCTGTCCAAGGTACCCACAGCTTTCACCGCAGCTCACAGAGGAGCGAAGGAGCCGGCACTGGACCAACATCCAGGCTGAGGGTTCAGACAACGGCAGACCGGCCCTGCCTGGCAGGCGTGAGACCCTTACCCTTTCGATGCCTGAAGCCACTTCAGTTATTCTGGGAGTCCCTGCCTGCCTGTTGTTTACAAGGCTGGCGGTGCCCCACTCTCCAGATGACAAGCTTAATGCTCCTCAGGAAGGATTAAGATCTTACTTAAACACACACACACAAAGCTCCCTTGGGCTCAGCTGTCAAGGTGAAGAGCTGAGGCGGCAAACCTTGTTATAAAAAATCCGGCAATGAAGTTGGGAACATCATGGGAGAGATTGCTCTGTTCGGAGGCCCGGCTGGTGCAGATGCTTCCTGCACAGCCTGCTCTGCTCTCCTCAGCTCACCCCGGCCCGCCTCACCCCCCACTGCGGAGGGAAGGGGCATTCAGGCTGCCCTGTGCTCAAGGCCATGATCACCTGCCACGTGAGCCAAGTCAGCGGGGGCCCAGACTCCTCCGGCTGGGCTGGCACGGATGCTTACCACCTTTCAGGCCAGACTCTCTCCTGTCAGTGGTGAGTCAATCAAGGGGACAGTGACCTGCTGAGCAGAGGCAAGATCTCCCTTTGGGGACAGGGACTGGCCTGGCCAGGGAGGCACCTGGCTTCCCCCACACCTTGGATGTCCCTACAGGGATCTCACTGTGCCCTTGCACAATTTATGTAACACTGTCACTCCATGTGTCACCTCACTCCTAACGCCCTGCAGGCAGATCTTACTAGTTCACACTTAATGCTTAATGGGGCCAGAGAGGTTAAGGAATTTCCCCAAGCTCACACAGCTGCAACATAATGTTCCAAATCCTGTGCTCTCCTCTCCTTTGCCATCACATGCCTCCTTCTCTGGGTGGCAGGCCCCTTTCTAGATTCCCCAAGGAGGTGGGGAGATTTGCCTGGAGAGCAAGCCTAATAGTCAGGAGCTTCGGTGATGAGGGTCCTGGGCCCTCTGAAAGCCTGGGGCTTGCCTGACCCCATGGGGAGTCCCAGCCACCCTGGGGAGGTTTCTCCTATAGTCAGAGAGCCCACCTGCCTACCTGCCACCACACCAGCCACGTAGACCAGCCCAATGCGGGTCGCTCCATGCACCATCTCCAAGGGCACCCCCACCAGGAGCTGCAGCACCACATTGAGGCCCAGGTGTTCTATCCTGTATGGAGAGACCACACCCCATTCATTCATCCAGTCACCCATTCGTTTATTTGACAAACACTGTGTGCCAAGATGCCGGGGGTCCAGCAGTGAGCAAGACCCTATACCTTGCCTTTGAGGAACTCATGGTCTGGGATGGTGGGGGGAGGAGTCACAAAAGAGACAGATCGTCTTGGACAGAGCGTTTCTTCCACACCTTTCCCGCCACCTGAGGCGAGAACACGTGCAGGGCCTGGGTGGTAACTGGCAGTGTCTGCACTGGCCACAGTGAGAGGCTAACTGTGGTCAAGACCCAGCAACCCCATTGGCTGACACATGAAAAGCCAAGGCCCAGAGAGGGGCACTAACCAGCTTAGAGTCACTCAGCTGGTTCGTGGCCAGGCTGGTAGCACAGTCCAGGTCTCTGGTGTGCAGGCCCTGCTCCATTCACCAGGTCCTGAGGGCACGCTGGCTTGCTATTGTATCTATAAGAGCTCCTGATATTTAAGGAGACAGATGTTGCCTGGCCAGCGTGGCTCAGTGGTTGAGCGTCGACCTATGACCCAGGAGGTCACGGTTCGATTTCCAGTCAGGGCACATGCCTGGGCTGCAGGCTCGATCCCCAGTGTGGGGCATGCAGGAGGCAACCAATCAATGATTCTCTCTCATCACTGATGTTTCTCTCTCTCTCTCTCCCTCTCCGTTCCTCTCTGAAATTAATAAAAATACATTAAAAAATAAAAATAAAGAGAGATGTTTTCAAAACAGGTGCAAGCGTTACAGATGTGTCTCAGAGCTTAGTAATTCAGTTATCACTTAACATCTCATGGGGGAGGCCTCTCCCTCCTGGTGGCGGGGACCCGTTCTGCCTGAAACTCTCAGGGTTAGGGTTTCTGCCTTTTTTACGCTATCATGTGACCAGATCTTGTTGCTAAATGGTGTCTAGCTGAGTGCATGTTACTAGAAAATATCGTAACATTACTATTATTACATTGGTGTGTGCTTTCAAGTTTACAAAGCACTTTAACGTCCATTATCTCATATAAACTGAGCAGCTGGACAGCTCCCTGGGGAAGCGTAAGTTATAGGGTAACAGAGCATGTAACAAGGGGTCTGGATGCTGGCCGGCCTGCAGGCTCGGGTATCTGCCGATCCGGGAGGGTGCCTGGGAGGCAGCACATGACTCAGGTCAGGCTCTGTCCCAAATTCCCACCATCCCTGCAATCTTCTGGCTCCCCACCCCGACCCCCCGACTGTGCCAGCCAAAGGACCCTAGATTAGGAATGTCAGAAAAATTTACTGAAAAGGAGCTGGGTGGTAGCCTCAGATTCATAGACAGAGAGACCTCAGAGGTTTTCTGCTCCCGTCTCCTTGGTTTACAGCCTAGAACTTGAGACCAGAAGAGGCCAGGTGAGGAGAACCCAGAGCTCCTGCCCCCCAATCCAACCTCTTTCTTCTCAACCACAGTGATTTCTGTTTTAAAAAGTGTATTTTTAAAGTGAAGGGAACCAGGTTTGCTAAAGTAATTGTGGTGATAGAAATGTATTAGCCTCAGAAGCTACTGAGGTGGTTCATTCTATCCTAGTACAGTGTAACTAAAAAAAAAAGTGTATTTTTATTGATTTCAAGGAGGAAGGGAGAGGGACAGAGAGATAGAAACATCAATGATGAGAGAGTCATTGATCGCTGCCTTCTGCACGCCCCACACTGGGGATCGAGCCTGCAACCTGGGCATGTGCCCTGACCGAGAATCAAACCATGATCTCCTGGTTCACAGGTCAACGCTCAACCACTGAGCCACGCCAGCCGGGCTCAAACACAGTGACTTCTGAATTCATGGGCTGGAGTGTGTCCCTGAGTAATGGGTCTCCCTGTGGGCTTTCCCTAGATGCTGGTCAGCTCTCCCTATCTCCTGTCTCCTGTGGAACCAGCCAGGAGGCCCTCCCTCAAGGTCACAGGCCTGGAGAACAACGGCCAGAGAAAGGCTCGAGGCCACCCCTGTGCCTCCGGGGGGAGCATCTGTGCTCTGGCCACTCTGGCCTTTCAGCTCTTGGAGGCAAAGAATGGACAAGGAGGCCTTGGAGACATTGTCCATTCTCCCTCCTTACCTCAGGGGACCAGGGGAGGCCAGAGGGCGGTCCTGTGAATAAGGCAGATAGTCTCAACCCACGTGCACCCACGGGCTTGGGCCTGGCCGGGGAAGTCCCTGCTTCCTGTTGCCTCCAAATCTGACTCACGAGAAGACTGATACATGACACGCCTCCCTCCCTCTGCTCCTTAGCCCTGTGAGATCAAAGCCTGGGACAGCAGGCAAGGCCAACAGCTGTGGCACAGTCCCCTCTGGCTCAGCATGGAGGCGTCCATCAGAACCATCAGAACGTCTCCTCACCCAAGCCTCCCCAGCAGGTGCAGCCAATTAGGGGTTGGCATTTGTGCCATTTAGAGGCTCAGCAGGACGGGAGGCTCACAGCGGGGCTCCCTCTTGGCCACTGTGGGTCTTTCTGCCGAGGAACAAGAATGCTGGAGCCTTGGGGGCCAGAGTGATCCTCTTCCCATGTCCAACCCCAGGGACAAGCACCCCCCAGGGCTGGCCCAGACCAATAGTGAGCCCCTTTGCTTCTCTCCCTAGAAAGGCTGTAGAAGACACCATAGAGGTCGGGGGTCCAGGGACTCCGCGTTTCCAACTCAGCACTTCTACTACGTAAAAATGGTCTCCAGCCAAGATAGCGCTTTTAAAGGGCATTGAACCTGGGCAGTCACCTGGCCTGATCCTGGGTAAGAGGCATCAGAGAGAACCGACTGCTCTCCAGCCCTAAACGAGGCCACAAGGCTCTGTAAACAGAACAGTAAGTATTGCCAAATTCCTCAAGAAGACCCTCACCATGTACGGAGAGCACTCTGAGAAGACGGCAGTTTCAAGAAATCTGTCCTTGATTTCACTGATGGGGGCACTCACACACAACACAGTTTACGGACAATGAATCTGGCAGCTGACCATATTTCCCTCTTTGCTTTGGCCACTAGGAAGCTCAGAAGTTTATAACTGGCCTCTAGCAAGTACATAGACTCACATGCTATGGATGTTTGTGCGGATTTCACTGTGGGATGTGAGCATTTTACTCTATTTCCCCTTTCCCATACACTCCCGATAACTCATATATTTTGGTATTAGATGAGTTTCAAGAAGTCACCTCAAATCCTGTGTCCAGGGAGACAAACTAAAAACTATATTTCAATCCATACTATCGGGGCTACTTCTTTATCCATAGGGACTCTTGATAGAGGGAAAGAAGACAGGTACTCACCCGGCGTGCATGAAGATGTACGTCAGGTAGCGCCACGCCTGCGCTCGGAGCTGTGGATGGTAAACCAGTGCGTTCTGCAGGTACCGAGGATGGGTCACCTGCAGCACAAACTGATCCAGCGACACTCCGTTGTAGAGGAAAAAGGCCACCTGGGTGGAAGCACAGGGCGGAGGGGGCCCATTACTCAGTGCAAAACTGCCCAGGAACCCTCTGGTGCTAACACTCGGAATCCTTGCTGGAAGTTGTCGTCTTTCCTTCTCAGAGAATGAGGGACCCCCCGCGGCCAGCGCTCGCCTCACCTTCAACCATCTCCACCCCACTTCTGTTTGATTATTTTCCCTTAGCTATTCACAACATGGTCACATGATCTCAGCCCACACTTCCTTGGGGCTAAGCAGGAAGGGTTTGGAGGACTTTAAACTTTAATCCCAATAATAAAGAACATACCCATCTGGGGGATAAGACAATGCCACACAAGTTGATTTTTTTTTAAAAAAACAAACCTATGGTAAAATACATAGAAATACAAGTTACCGTCTAAATCAGTTTTAAGTGTACAGTTCAGTGGCATGAAGTTCATTTAAAATGTTAGGCAACCATCCTCACCATCCATCCACAGGAGTCTTTTCACCTTACAAAACTGATACTCCATAGCCATTTAGCATTAGCCTCCCATTCTGCTTTCCCCATCTCTGGCAACCACCATTCTACTTCCTGTCTCTATGAATTTGGCTGCTTTAGGTAACTCGACGTCTGCTTATTTCACTTAGTATAATGTCACCAAGGTTCATCCATGTTGTTGATTAGGCCAAAATGTCCTTCCTTTTCTGAGGACGAGTAACATTCCCATTGTATGAGGAAGCCAAATTTTGCTTATCATTCATCTGTTGATGAACATTTGGGTTGCTTCATATTTTAACTACTGTGAATAATGCTGTTATGAACATGGGTGTACAAATATCTCCTTGAGTCCCTGATTTCAATTTACTTTGGGTGTATACACAGAAGTGGAATTGCTGGATCATGTGGTAATTCTGTTTAATTTTCTGAGTAATCGCCATACTGTTTCCCATAGCGGCTGCACCATTTTATACTCCCGCCAATAGGGCACAAGGGTCCCAATTTCTCTGCATCCTCACCACCACCCTGCATAAGCAGACTATGCAAATGACTACAGCACACTAACGTAAGCACAAAAGGGTATTTAACTATTTTTTTCCTGGAACTCTTTCTAAAATGCATCATTCATGTCCCTATGTTCTTAATCAGGTATGTGCATAATCTCTTAAGGATGCCTCAGGTACAGAGCTGGGCACCGGGAGTGATGTCTTCTCCAGCAATGGATGGGGCTTCCCTCCTACAACTAAATGGCCCCAAATTCTTGTGTTTAAGACTCAGGGCTAGCCCTCGCCAGTTTTGCTCATTGGGTAGAGCGTCAGCCTGCAGACCAAAGGGTCCTGGGTTTGATTCCTCCCTGGCCTGGGCTCTGGTCAGGGCTCGTGCAGGAGGCAATTCATCGAAGTTTCTTTCTGTCTTTCCCTCACTCTTCCACTCTCCCTAAAAATCAATGGAAAAATATCCTCAGGCGAGGATTAATAAAAAACAAACAAAAAAAGAACTCAGGTCTACTTTTAAATATGTTTTTTAAATTGATTTCAGAGAGAGAAAGGGAGAGGGAGAGAGGAATAGAAACATCAATGATGAGAGGGAATCGTTGATTGGCTGCCTCCTCCACGGCCCCTCCTGGGGATGGAGCCTGCAACCCAGGCATGTGCCCTTGACCGGAATCAAACCTGGGACCCTTCAGTTCCCAGGCCGACACTATCCACTGAGCCAAACCAGCCAGGTCAGGTTCTTACTTTTTATTGCTGGTTAATAGTGGGTCCCTTCTATTTTCTCTGTTATGGAATCAGAAAACTGTGTACCTAGAACTGTATTTAAAACAAAAAGCCTTGGGCTTTTGTACAAGGGCTTTGAAACAGTTATTTCAACATTTTCTTCTAGGATGGTCGTTTGAGTTTACATAGCCGAGGCTTATGGAAATTTGAAACCAATCTGGACACAAAATCTGGCTTCTCTGGATAACCTTGGACAAATGATTTACATTTTCTGGTTCTCGATTCCCTGACCTGGAAATGGGGATATGAATGCCTACACTTCCAGGGTAGTGATGAGGCTCAGAGCGGCGGTTCTCAACCTGTGGGTCGCGACCCCTTTGGCGGTCGAACGACCCTTTCACAGGGGTCGCCTAAGACCATCCTGCATATCAGATATTTACATTACGATTCATAACAGCAGCAAAATTACAGTTATGAAGTAGCAACGAAAATAATTTTATGGTTGGGTTACAACATGAGGCACTGTATTTAAAGGGCCAGAAGGTTGAGAACCACTGGCTTAGAGATAAAATACAGGAGGCCCCGCCGGGTGCCCGGCATGCGATTCGGGAAGGCAGCTGTAATTAGCGTCGGGTTAGGGCTTCCTGGGTGGAGCCTGGACTGGCTCAGGCCCGCCAGCAGCTGGACTCCCCTGGGCTCTCTGGGGAGCCGTTCTGTCCACCTAACAGGATGCGGGTGGCCTGGCAACAAATACAGCTTCCAAGGCAGCTCGTTATTATTGGTCCTCAAATAGAAGTTAATAAATAGACCGACACAGTAAGCATTTGGAGAAGGAGTCCAAGAATATCTCAGAAAAAAAATCTCAATTTCAACGTGAACTTGGAAGAAGCCTTGGGCCTGCAGACCAGCTATTCTCGTTTAGGAAAAAAGAAGAATGCCATGAAGCTTAACGATCCTGCCGTCTGATTAGGAACTTTGCAAGAACATATGCAGGGGTGGTAATTAGGCCCGTGGCTCTGGAAGAGAAATGGGTGAAGATTATAAAACGCCAAAGGGAAG